GTGTGTGTGTGTGTAAATGATTAACATCATCCATTCCACATAACCCTAATAATCAAAGGTTTTTCAAATTGTCCCTATAACTCCTATTAGCTAGTCCTTAAAATACTAAAGAAGTGCCTATATTGTAACATAAAGGAAATCAAGTATTTAAAAATTCTTTTTACTTTATTGCCTGCTCTTCCAGTCCGTCCTGCTCTGTGCACATAATCCTCATAATGATTGGGGCAGCTGTAATTTACTACAAGAATCAAATGTTTCACATCTAGACCTCGGGCAGCAACAGAGGTGGCCACAAGAAGTTTGCAGGTCCCATTCTTAAAGTCATTTATAATACTGTCTCTGTCATATTGATCAATACCTGCAAGTAAAGAGAAAAATTATAAAACATGTTCAAATTAAATTTCCCATTCCCTTTGACAGAGAAAGAATCTAAATGTGGAGGAAAAACAAATCCACACCTACAACGTCTACACTATAAAAATAAAAGACTACAGCAATTCAATGGTGTGGTTGTACCTGCCTATAATCCCTGCAACTTGGGAGGCTGTAGGGATGCAGTGGGGTGGGAACTTCAGAACATAAGAGAATTCAGAATATTTACAATGTGTTATTCACAAAGTTCAGTGTAAAAACAAAAATTACTAGGAATACAAACAGAAAAACCTGAAACAAAATCAACAGAAAATAATCATTAGAGATTGACATCAAAATAACATAGATGTTATATTTAATAAAGATTTTTTTCAAGCACCTATAATAACTATGATCAAGGATTTTTTAATCCTTATAATAAGTGTCTTGAAAATCTAAAACAAAACAAACAAACAAAAAAAAAAAAACACAAGAAAATGTAGATGAGAAACCACTGGAAAGTTTAGGACTAACAAAATACATGCATTAGGCCCTTGGTTCAATACCCAGTACCACACATGTACACAAAATACAACTGAATAAAAAAAAAAAAATTCACTGGATAAGAGCTGGGGTTACAGCTTTGCAGTAAAGCACCTGCCTATCATGTATCATGCATGAGGTCCTGGACTTGACTCTTAGCACCATAAAATAAAAACAACAACAAATCCTCATCAGAGGGACTTAACTGAAGTTTAAAAATGATAAAGAAGAAGATAAAGAAAAAAATGATAAGAAAATTATACAATCTGAATTACAAAGAGAAGGAAGCTAAAAGACTGAATAAATCACATGAGATAACTTTAAAAGGTAAAACATACACAAAGCTGGAGTCACAAAAAAAGAGAGAAGGTAGGAAAAAAATTAAAGAAATAACAAGCCATAAATTTCCCAAATTAGATATAAGACATAAATGCAGATTCTAGAAGTTAAATGAACAACTTAGGTGAATCTCAGTTATATGTTGAATAATAATAATAATAAAAAAGCCAACTGTAAAAAGGTTATGTGCTGATATCACTTACAAAAATTCTTGTAAGAAAGCAGCAGTGCCCCCAGCACAGCAAACAAAACCCACAGAAAAGAGAGCAAAAAAGGCCAAAAGTTTGCCAGATGTTACAAACCAGGGTAGGGGGTGCCTTTCTAATTACCTTTATCTTTACAGGGAAAAGATGAGAGAGTTTTGTGGGGTAATGGAAAGTTCTATATACTGATTATGGTGTATTCTATGGGGTGGTTAAGTAGACAAAATCCTGGGAACAGCCTATGTGTCCTAAAGAAATGACTAGAATATTATTCAGCAATAAAGAACTGATACATTCAACAACATGGACAAATCTCAAAAAACATATGTTACCTCTTGTAACAGTACATCTTATATGGTTCCATTTGTTTGAAATTCTAAAACAAATAAAA